TGACCAGTGTGTCCTCCGACGGAAGAGGGCAGCCATCCCTCGTAGTGAACAACAGCTCAGCGTTAGTTCAACTTCGGTTGCTCGGGTTTCTACAAGTAAGATGGCTCTTTGATGAAAGTTGAGGTCGAGATTAGATTTAACAGGATAGATGAGGATGATATCTTCAGTACATTTCCAGGAACAGCAGAATCATGGTAGGATTCGGTGTTAATATTGAATAATTAGTCCATAGCGGAGAGCATTGCAATATGTCCCATTGTTTGCAACGACTGCATATCTCTTTTTGCCAACTGCCACAAATTGTAACCGATACCAGAAATAACTGAAAGCCACAATAGAAGCCTGGGATCTCGACATTCTGTACAAAACTTTTTCAATAGCCGCTGGTGTAAAGCAGTGTTGAAAGCTGTAGAAAAATTCAAGAATAACGTATAATCTGAAAATCAGCCACGATCCATATTTTGACCATTGGTGTGTATAAGCGATTGCGTCTTATTGTTTCTCGACCCCCCTTAAAGGTAAAGTGGAACTTGTAAAGTCAACCTCACATTGTCGACAAAATCTCTAGAGCAAATATGGTCAATCGCTTTTAAGAGTATTGAAGCTTAATGATTGGACAATAGTGTTATGTAATATCCCAGACGGGATATTTTTGCAAAGAGAGTTACTCTACTAGTATGTTAATAATGAGGGGTGTGGCCAGTTTTCAATAACGTAGATAACCGTGAATGGTTCACTTAATGCTTTGGCAGAGCATCTGAGCAGGGAGGGCGTAATGCCGCTTTGATCTGATGCGAGATTGCACAATAGATGCGAAAAGGATAGAGCAACCTGATGTTGCGTAAAATTTGGTCAGGGTTGAAATTGTTTATTTTCAGAAGCGGATAGATGGGTTCTCACTGCTGGCAAGCGGAAAGTTCTGCTACATTGCATGCAGTCTTATTTCAGGAACACAAAACCTAGGTCATCTAAGTCTATCAATTTTCCCAGTACACAGATCTCACAATTGCATAGCCTTTTGATATTATTCCAGATCTCTTTTGGGGCTGATGTGTTTTAAAATAACTTGGAGCATGTAAAATCTTGAATCCTCAGGAGTTAAGCATTTATTAAAATAGTAATTTCAGCTGTTTTTGTAGTTTTGCTGGATTTGTTAGCTATTTCGTTTTTTTCTCGATTAAGTGCGGTTAAACCTCCCGAACTCAGACGGTACTTAATTACTCGAAAGATACTTAAGGAATACCAGGAATCAAGTAGAAACTTGATGCAAGATGAGAGGACGCCAGCCTGAGTAGATAGAACTTCAGAGAGGAAAGAGCGCAAGTCAGTGATCTCAAATATATGAGTTACTTGCTCCACGCCTGATTCATCAGCGTAGGCACCTACAGACAATTTTTGGCTTCGGTGACAAGGTTTGCGACTGGTGAAAGGCGGTATATGGGTTGCGAAACGTAAGAATAACACAGTGTTACGAGGTTGTCAAAGGTGCATATTTTGTTGCGAACAGCGCAGGCTCAACACTTGTGAACATGTAGTACAACGCATTACTGATTCGGGGTAAAAACTGACTGCGTTGTATATACCCACTGAGGTCAGAAAGCTTTTGTCGCAGTTGTTCAAGTCTTCAGCAATAATTATCTGTCAACATAAAATACAAAATGACAACAAACGATAGGACAGTTATAAAAGATTTGTGGATACTCCGTCGCAATTTTTCTTCGTCAAGACATGAACCGAACGAAACAAGAAAAGTAATTGAGATGAGCAAGATCTTCATATACTAGGTCATATAGCGACGCATATGATAGCGCACATACAGCTGAAAAGTTTATGGTGGGTAAGAAAAGAAGTTTTTATTATTTCACTTATTCAATTCATATTTATTTCTCTGTGGATTGTTGACGATAATTCGGAGAGGATTAAAGGCAATTGCACTTTGCTAGGATGA